AACCATGGCATATGGAGCTTTGTCCCGACTAATCTATTGGTCCACTCGGGTCGCACACCTAGCAATGGTGGGTGAGTCTCCCAACAAAGATTTTCTGCATTCACAAGGACTCGAACCCAATACCTTGCTTAAGGGACATCAAGCTGCTTACCACTTGAGCCAACCCTTGTTGATTTTTTTTTTTTTTAATGTAGCATGAATAGGTGGGTCCACATTGGTAGGAATCATGCTACCCGATAAATGCGCTAGTTGTTAGTAGATATATTAAAATAATAATTAAAATAAAATAATTAAAATTGATATGATGTAAATGTAAGAGAAACATGATTGAATGTGATAGTTAAAATTATGTGAGTAAATGAATAGTGAATTAAAGTTGATGTGATGTATAAGAATGATAGGTTGGATGATTGATTGATATTATTTAATTATATTGATAATATTGGAAATAGTGAGATAAGTTAAAGTTGAGTTAAATTTGAGTTTTGATTGATTTTTTTTAAGTGAATTGATAAACAATCACACCTTATTTTCCTAAGTATATAGTATAGTTACGTAATTTATTGAAACACTCATGGATCAGAATGGCCAGTGTGTGTGTGAATGTACGGTTAATATAACCAAATAATAATAATAATGTTAGTTCAATAAACTTTGCTCTATTCTCTTAACAAAAATGAGTATTCATAATAAAATTGTAGGGAATAGTAGTCAACCAAATTATAATAATAGTGTTAGTTCAATCTATGTTATGAAAGAATGACTACAATCCGTTACCAATTATCTTCGGAGTTTTTAACCATTAAATACTGTAACACCCCGCTATTTCATGAAAATCAAAGTACGTTTTTCACAAAGTATTTCAAAATAAAAATATTTAATTTGCGAAATACTGATTCGGAGTGCTACCATAAAACATGACTTTAACTGAAAACCGTCATTTTAGTTTTAAAGAAAAACAAACGGTTTAACATAACATATTAACCGACTGAAAGTCGGATCAAAAGCTAAGTTCGATAAGTAGTCATAATTAGCGGAAAAACGTAGTGACGTCAAAACATTTTTAAACACATAGATAAAGTCCTGAACCGACCGCCAGCTCACTCCTCAGCTCCGACCCTGTGACCTGAAAAACATGAATAATGTGGGGCGTGAGCACTAAATCCACTGTGCTCCGCAGAAACTCATACTGAAGTAAACAGTGAAAATAATTACAATATCATGATCTTGGTATATACATAAACTGAACATGAAACCGGTACTGAATAAGCATGAACTGATAATCATCACATGACCGTTACCTCATCTGCCAACATAAAAATGTCGGACACCATGTGCACACTCTAGTGGGCAGACTAGGCCACTAGAACCCAGAATGGACCGGCGACCATTCCAAGCGGATACATGACATGATAATACATACCTCAAACATGGTACCGTAATTATAATCAATGTAATACCCAGTTTGAGTCCCCACCTGATCCGTCGAAATGAAAAGGCAGTGCTGATATTTGTAGCCTGATCAAACTGAAATATAATATAAATAATTAGTAAGTACTATGCTCAGACTAATAAAAATAGTTGTTTAATATGTTAAGATGCTCTACTGAACTTGACATGATATTTGGATTTAACCGGTACAACTGGATCTGGTTTAATATCAGAACTGAACTGATAGGAATTTACTGAATTGAACCGGACCCGGGATTTTAACTGAAAATGGGACATGAACATGAACTGGGACTTAAGACATTAAAATATAGGGTGAACCGGTCTGGCCGGACCGCCGGCCTGCTGTGGCCGGGCGGTCGGCCGTTGGCTCGGCCAACGGGCCTGCCAA